AAGTGCTAAAAGAAAGAAATATTAATTAGCCCTACGTGGCCATTTTTGATTGGTTTGGTAGCATTTGAGAGCAAAAAAAAAGTGCTAAAAGAAAGAAATATTAATTAGCCCTACGTGGCCATTTTTGATAGGTTTGGTAGTATTGGTAGGAGCTCTTTTAAGGAAGGAAATGACGGGAATACCCTTGGTAGCCCAAGGGAACCACCACTTATGATGATGATGATATGATGATATGATGAAAATAATATAAAGAAATATTAATTAGCCCTACGTGGCCATTTTTGATAGGTTTGGTAGTATTGGTAGGAGCTCTTTTAAGGAAGGAAATGACGGGAATACCCTTGGTAGTCCAAGGGAACCACCACTTATATAGTATGATGAAAATATATATATATATATATATAGTATGAAGTATGATGATGATATATAGTAAGTTGGTAGTCCAAGGGAACCACGACTTATATAGTATGATAGGAGCTCTTTTAAGGAAGGAAATGACGGAAATACACTTGGTAGTCCAAGGGAACCACCACTTATATAGTATGATGAAAAAAAATAAAAAATAAAAAAAATATATATATAGTATGAAGTATGATGATGATATATAGTAAGTTGGTAGTCCAAGGGAACCACCACTTATATAGTATTATTATTATCTATAGTATGAAGTATGATGATGATATATAGTAAGTTGGTAGTCCAAGGGAACCACGACTTATATAGTATGATAGGAGCTCTTTTAAGGAAGGAAATGATGGGAATACCCTTGGTAGTCCAAGGGAACCACCACTTATATAGTATGATGAAAAATAAAAATAAAAAATAATAATATATATATAGTATGAAGTATGATGATGATATATAGTAAGTTGGTAGTCCAAGGAAACCACCACTTCTATAGTATGATAGATAGTATGAAGTATGATGATGATATATAGTAAGTTGGTAGTCCAAGGGAACCACCACTTATATAGTATGATATATAGTATGAAGTATGATGATAATATATAGTAAGTTGGTAGTCCAAGGGAACCACCACTTATATGAAGTAGAATAGAAAATAGAATATAATAGAAAGTAGAAATAGAAAATATTATATAAAAGAAAGAAATATTAATAGAAAGAAATAGAAAGTAGAAATAGAAAATATTATATAAAAGAAAGAAATATTAATTAGCCCCACGTGGCAATTTTTGATTGGTTTGGTAGTAGTTGAAGAACCACCACTTCTATAGTATGAAGAATAGAAAATAGAATATAATAGAAAGAAATAGAAAGTAGAAATAGAAAATATTATATAAAAGAAAGAAATATTAATAGAAAGAAATAGAAAGTAGAAATAGAAAATATTATATAAAAGAAAGAAATATTAATTAGCCCCACGTGGCAATTTTTGATTGGTTTGGTATAGTTGAGGAACCACCACTTCTATAGTATGATATATCTTTATTTGTGTCTAAAGTGTAATTCTAGAAAATTATTTTTTATAGTCACATAGCTAGATATTATTTAGTAGTAAAAGACTCATTTACCCTTGGCTATCCTTGGGATTCTCTTTCTAGAAAATTCCTCTTTAGTATATTGTATTATTATTATTATTATATATTATCTTTATTTGTGTCTAAAGTGTAATTCTAGAAAATTCTTTTTTATAGTCACATAGCTAGATATTATTTAGTAGTAAAAGACTCATTTACCCTTGGCTGTCCTTGGGATTCTCTTTCTAGAAAATTCCTCTTTAGTATATTATATTATTATTATATATTATCTTTATTTGTGTCTAAAGTGTAATTCTAGAAAAAAAAATTTAATAGTCACATAGCTAGATATTATTTAGTAGTAAAAGACTCATTTACCCTTGGCTGTCCTTGGGATTCTCTTTCTAGAAAATTCCTCTTTAGTGTGTGGATGATAGATAGGTAGATATTATTTAATAGTAAAAGACTCTTTTACCCTTGGTCGTCTCACCTTTCACTCTTCTATATAATAATAATAAAATAATATATATAATAATATAGATAGAAATATATATGTTCTTTCTTTATACTTTCTTCCATTATAACAAAAACATCTTTTAGACGCAATAAATATATACATCAACAAATAGTGTCATTTACTAACATTAATTAATTGTCATTGAACATTTATAAATAAGACTAATTGTCGTTAAAAGTACATATTTAGCTGCAATTAAGCTATCGCCACTAAAGATCATTTTTGGTGTTTGGTGTTGTGTTTGTTTCAATTTGTTTGATGGGGTCCATGGGTCAGGGTAAGTTCTTTCCTATAGGCTATATATACATTATCAAGTAGGGATAAGACACAAGTATCCCCTAGACTATGATCGAAATTTCAAAGATACACCTTAACTAAACTAAGGTCCTACTACCTCCTGAACTAATTTTTTTTTTTAATTTTGTACACCTTTTGGCTTACGTGGCACACTCCGTAACTTCACACAATTGAGACGCGTGAGAGATATTTGGATGCCACATAAGCCAAAAAGGTGTACAAAATTACAAAAGAAATGGATTCAGGGGGTAATAGAACCTCAGTTTAGTTAAGGTGTGTTTCTAAAATTTTGGCCATAGTTTAGAGGGACTTGCACCTTTTCCCTTATCAATTATACTGCGTGTCTGCTGAGTTGAGTATAAATCTCATCATCCCCTCATTGCTATTAATGGATAAAAAAGAGCCCTAATTGAGTTTAGGGAACTGTTGGATTTTCGGGCATAGGCTATGAGTTAATAAGATGATATATATATATATATATATAAATCAAACCAATACTCTGACTCTCTAAGTGCTACTACCAATAATCATATTAATTTTGAGAAAAAATCATCGTGACAGGAAGAAAAAAAAATAAAAATATGTCCCATTTTTAGTTATACTTGATGAAATTTTGAATGGAATTTGGTGGTTTACCTATCCATCATTCAAAAGATGCTAAATTTGATGAGCTTCATTTTCTATCATCATTTCAAAACAATCTTAATAATATAATTAAAATAAGAGACAATGATATGACTTACTTTAATAATCGCGGAAGCACGATCAAATTCCCTAGTTAGTACTAAATCCCCGTATTTTCACATTACATTATCTTTGTTTCCTATATTCTTAATCATGTTCATGTATATCAAGTATATGTTAACTTTGAGAAATATTCTTTCTATCAAAGAATGCTAACATGGAGTAAAGAGGAATATTAATTAATGAGTACAAGTTGGATTTCATTGTAATTAGGAAAGAATATTTATCTACACATTTTCTTTTTTTTACCATAATTTCTATTATTTCCTATTATTTTAAAGAATTACAAAAAATTCTCTTTTCACTCACATTATCTCATTTTCGGATACATCACTTAGAACAACCCCAAATACACGATCTTTCTTCCTCTTTTCACTCCTAAAATTACTTCATTGTATTATCATCAGTTACCTCAATCACTCCACTTTTAGATTTCAAATATTTTCTTTCCAATTCATCACTTGCAGGTTATTGAAGATGTAGTTCTTATGCATCTTCTTCTTCATTCGTTTTTTTCTTTAAGTTCATCGATATCAATTTTCATGTGTATGTACTATGAGAGACTTGGGCCAAGTCTGTCATAGTACGTACACATGAAAATGAAAGGACACAATTTGATGAAGCAACTCCACATGGCCAAGTCTGTCATAGTACGTACACATGAAAATGAAAGGACACAATTTGATGAAGCAACTCCACATGTAAAATGATTAAATGAAATGTAATGCCTGGCATGGTGGAAATTATTGAATCTCTTACCTGTTATCTAATGTTTAGTAAGTAAGCAAGAAAATATTATCCAAGAGTATGTATATATATGTTATCTAGCAAAATATTATGGAGGTGTGTAGACACAGGGATGCTGGTAGGTGGGATGGTCAATGGGTGAGAGTCAGTGGCGAATCTAAAGGTAAATAATAGGGCACCGAAACACGTGGTCTCTTCGTAAAACTAGATATTTTATGTATATATTTTCTAAAATTTGTATATTATTATATTCTGGCACCCGTACTATCTGGTCCACATGGTTAAATGTTAAGCTTTTGACCTTGAGGATGAAGAATCAATTCTCACTTGACACATTTTTCTTGGTGCATCCATGTTCGGATTAATTCCACTTAATATATTTTTCTGGGTGCATCCATGTTTGAAAAATCCTAGATTCGCCTCTGGTGAGAGTTGGGTGGTGGGAAACAGTGGCAGACCCAAAATTTTCGTTCAGGGAGTTCGAAAAATAAAAGTATAAATGTGTAAATAAGCAAAACAAAATTTCAAGGAAGCAGTAGTATATAATTTTAGTGGCGGATCCTTGAATTTTTTTGGGTTTAAAACCACACTTTTAGCATGTTTTATAAGATTAAAAAAAAAAAAAAAAAGTGAAAACGGAACTAAAACTAAAAAAAAAACATAAACTAATAAAGAAAAAGAAAACGCTAACAGAGGGATTCAAACCCTCGACGTGGATCTTTGTTTGAAGGCAACCTGCCGTTGGGCTATCAGTTTCTCTTTGTCATTGAGGTCATTGAGAGGGTTCAATATATATATATATATATATATATATATATATATATATCCCATAAATACAAAAAATTTACCTTATATATACCGTGTAATTTTTTGCCGAGAGGGTTCGGGTGAACCCCTGGAACCCAAGTGGGTCCGCCCTGGTGGGAAAGAGATAATAAACTTGAAACGTCATTTATGCAACCTATTTTCCCTACTTCTATTAGAAAAGCCATTTTCATCATTTTTGTAAGGAGCTGATTTTCTTAGAGAATTTTTTTTCAAAACATAGAAAAATGGAAGAATATAGTTAAGGGACTATTTTAGACCTACACGAAACATGAAACACCATTTTGCGTAAGCTCTTACATCAGTAACCTTATAAAAGCACCTTTCTTGCTCTTCATTTGCAACTGAATAATTTAACACACTATAGCTTTTTCAGTTCTTATTGAGTAAAGATGACTAAATTAGCTGAGCTAAACTTTGTTGTGGTTCCTTTACTTTCTACAAGTCGCCTCATACCGGTGGTGGACATGGCCAAATTGTTAGCGATGCAAGGCGTGACAGTCACATTACTCACGACAGCTCTAAATGCCGCCAGATTCACTGCAGCAATTGATCGTGCCATCCGTTCTGGACTCCTCATTCGGGTAGTGGAGCTCGAGTTTAAAGGTAAGGAAGCAGGATTTCCAGAGGGGTGTGAAAACCATAATGATGCGCCTGGTCTGAACTATCGAAGACAGTTCTTTGCTGCAATCGATATGTTACAAGAAGAGGCTGAAAAGTTACTTGAAGAAATGAAGCCTAAACCGAGTTGCATTATTTCTGATACGTTTGTTACTTGGACAGTTGATACAGCTGACAAGTTTCAGATTCCAAGAATCGTTTTTGATGGAATGAGTTGTTTCACTCAAATGTGTAAGCATAACTTGCACATATTGAATGATCAAAAACAAATTCCTGAATCAGGGACTTTTGTCATACCTGATTTGCCAGATAGAATTGAAGTCACTAAAACTCAGCTGCCTGCGTATTTCAATCCAGAAGGAACAGTTTACGTGCAAGATATTCGCGACAGAATAAGAGCAGCTGAAAAGAGTGCGTATGGGATTGTGATCAATTCTTTCGAGGAGTTGGAACAAAGGTATGTAGACAAATTCAGAAAACTTTATGATAATAGAGTTTGGTGCATTGGACCTTTGTCTCTTTGTAACAATGACGATCTTGATAAAGTTCAAAGAGGGAATAAGGCTTTGTTTGACAAAGAGAACAGTATAAAGAAATGGCTTGATTCTAGGCAGGCAGAGAGTGTTGTGTATGCATGTTTTGGGAGCCTCGGTCATCTTACAGTTGTACAATTTGTGGAGCTTGCTTTAGGCCTGGAAGCATCAGGTTATCCATTCATTTTAGTCATAAAAACAGGGGAAGGACAAGCAGCAATAGAGGAGTGGATATCGAAAAATGGATTTGAGGAAAGAACTAAAGAAAGAGGGCTTTTGATACGCGGCTGGTCACCACAAGTAGTAATTCTATCACACCTTGCAGTTGGTGGATTCTTGACTCATTGTGGTTGGAATTCAACTGTTGAAGGGATTAGTGCTGGTGTACCTTTGATCACATGGCCTTTATTCGCGGAGCAGTTTCTTAATGAGAAATTATTAGTACAAGTATTGAAGATAGCTGCGGGTGTTGGAAGTAAGTCAGTTGTGCCTTTGGGTGAAGAAGACAAGTTTGAAGTCCAAGTGAGCAGCAACGTAGTAACGGAGGCCATAATAAAAGTGATGGATAAGGAGAAAGAAGGAAGCAAGATTAGAAAAAGAGCTAGAGAACTTGGAGAAATGGCAAAAAGGGCTGTAGATGGTGGTGGATCTTCTCACCTCAATGTGACACTTTTAATCAAGGAAATACAAGAATTCCAACTGAACCAATCAGCCAAAAATGCACTTGTTTGATTAGCCAAAATGTTACTATTTCCGGTTTTGAGTGTGATACAAGTCATTTTAATTTCCATGAAAAATGATTTCCTACAAAATAAATGTGTTATGTTACCTTGTTTGGTTGGGTTGGTGAATGCAAATTATTTTTAAAACAGTTAGCATCCATGTTCTTAAAAGTCGATATACTTTTTGTGACTTTATTGATCTGCTGGATATTCTCACCTCAGTGTAACTCACACTTGTAAATACACCTCGTAATGATGAATATTCATCAATCAAAATCTCAACACGTAAAACATATTAGTGGAGTAATAATCAATCAAGGAGCAAGAGGGAGTGGTGGAGACAAAGAAATAACAGGGAGTAAGAAAAGAAGGCGAATCCTTTGGTCCCTCAACAGCTTTACAAAAACACCTTCTTCAAAACTGAAAAAATTAAGAAATACATTTGCCAATAAATGTATTTGCTCTCTTCCGGTACACTTTACACCCATCTCCTTGTTACCTGCTATATTTGCTACAATTGAACGGAAGGCCGTCTTTCAAAAACAACATCTTTATCTCCATGAGGAATTTGAGTAACACGTGCGGCTTTGGTGTTATTTTTGGGTTAGTAACAAGTGAAACAACTAACACGATATCTTAGGATGCGTTTCAACATAATTTTAAATCAAATTGATTATAACTTAAATTTTGTTAGAATATGTAAATTTAGATTTATTAAATTGCATTTTTATCTTATTTTTGGTGAAGAATTTACTTTTAGGACAAAATAATAATATAGAAATAAGCTAAAAGCTGAAAATTGAATATCCTCAAATATAAATATTTATATAAAATTTCTCGAATCAATTCAAGCTTCGAATCAACACTAGATTTTGGATGACTTAAATTGAACAAATCAAAATAAATTGGATTAACAAAATAAGCAAGTTATTAACCTCATCCAAATTTAAATGGATTGGGCGGCTCATAAATTTTATGGTTTTCCAGCCACTTAGCAATTCTAATATTCTTAACAACTCTATCATGAGTCTCTTGAACAATTATCTTAATCATACAGTTGAGTTATTTTTGGAACGTGACTTTTAATCTTATGTTATACGGAGTACTATAACAATATAGTAATTATTTTTTGGATAAACGATGATATTATAAAGGGAACTGGCTCACCTCCAGTATCTCTTTCCTCCGGTCCCTCCAGTTCCCCTTTGGATTGGTGACATGTGTTATCTAACAAAATAAAAATGACTAAGATTCCCTTTTCCAAATATGACTCTATGCACATCTCCTCAGAGAATCAAACTCAATATTCTTTTAATGTACCCTCGAAACTCACCAATAATAATATATTTAATTATTAAAAAAAGCTCAGTCATTTATTTTATAGGAAAATTATTTTCACTCAATTTTATTTTAAAAAAAATAAAACTCCCTTTTCAACTATGAACAATAATTAGATTTTCCCTTTTATTCTAATTAAATTATTTTAAATGCATTATATCATTTCATTTATTTTTTTACTTTATTAAGAATCATGATATCTTCATTATTTTGAATTTATGTAAAACAAAATTTCATAAAAATACAAACATTATCTTTTATACGAAAAAGTGAGAAATGCTAATTAAATATATAAATTAATGATATTTTATAATGAAGTAAATTAGCATAATGAGAAAATTAATTTTGTTCAAAATAATCAAAACTCTAATATTTATTTATACAAATGAAAAACATAGAATAATAAGTTAAAAGCAGCCATAGAGAGTGGCTAATTTTATTTTATGTATACTTTGTGATGAAATATATGTGTCCATCACTAGTATGGATCAGGTCCTTGACTCAGCAAGAGCAGTCCGGAAAGTAAAAAACTTAAAAATAAAAACACAAGAGAATTTTTACGTGAAAATTAGGAAGGAGAAAATCACGACTTGTCTCACAAGATTTCAACTCAACTCCATTAATATTCAACAAAGAGCTAAGATTCAGATTACAAACTCTTGTAACGTAGGAATTAAACTATTAATCTATTCCCCTCACTGTAACAACTCTGTTACACAAAACAGAATAATATCTCTATTGTACACTACACTAACCAAACCTAGCTGGTATAGAATTCAAGAACCCGACATGGTTAACTCTAGCTATACTCAGAATAATGAAGAAAGATCCGAACCAATCTAATCAATATATATATATATATATATATATATATATATATATATATATATATATAAAGCTGGGAAAAAAACGTTGATGTGGCATGCTTTATTGGCCTCTATTACTATTTATTTATTTTCTTACTATCAAAATAAATGATGTAACGGCTAAGAACATAGTGGTCATTTAGTATAATTTAACACGTAGTAATTTCTCTAATTAAATTTAGGACTTTTTTCTAATCCACATAACTGATTATCTACAAATTAGCACTAATTAGAAAAGTTTAATTTTTTTAATAATTGCAGCATTAATGATTATATTTAATTTCTAACAACTATTTAAACTCTGTTAATCCTCACTATTTTCCTAAGCATATTCTCTCTACAACTAATTAAATTCCTTCCAAGGCTTAAAGGTACATATTCATTCTCTATCTCATTAACAATTTTCCTCTTTCATTTCACATATGTAATCAGCTGCTAGGCTGTTTGATCTCTCTTCCTTTTTTTAGATTATCTCTAACTACAGATGTCAAATTGTGGAGTGGTATTCGGCTAAAAGTTTATATTTATACTACATTATTGGCAAATAATAACTTATTGCTTTATATTCTATGCATAATTGTATTGTTAGCTTATTATTTTGAGTTTTTTGAGCTTATTATGAATTTTATGTGTGTAGAAAATGTATCAAATGAACATGATCGAAAAAGAGGTGATTCTGGCTCCTTTTGAAACAAAGGAATAACGATTGAAGGATAACTAGGTCCTTGCCTCTCGAAACACACATGTGAAGAAAAAAACAAGAGATTTTAAAGTTGATTGGACTTGCCACTGATCCTCTTGAAGTTCAAGCCAAAAAAGATTATCTCAATGAATTTGGATTAATGATTTGATTCCTAATGAGAAAAGAACATGTGAATTTTGATCCATTTTTTGATTTAGTATATGTATCAATTATTTGTTAATATATATGGCTTCCAAGTTCCAACTAATTATAGTCTCCTTGTGAATTATCATTATTTTATTTATTTTAAAATTTTCATCATTGAAATGATCTAATTGTCCATTCTCCATAAATATAGTAGAAAGTTATTTCATTGAGAAATGCGTATATTTACAAATTATACTAAGAATGTCTAAGAATTTTCTTCTATTATTTGAATTAATTAAATTGTTCCAATTCATATATAAATGTTGAAATAGTATGATGATTTTAAAAATATGATTTTGAGAAAAGTTAAGAGGAAGTAGTCAAGAAAATTTTGAAAGCAATTAGAGAAGGGGTACATTACTTTTGGCTAAAAGTTTTCTCACCGAACAAGTTGAGGCTTATAAAATTTCGTGACATTGTTCTTCATCAATACATTTTTAATCATTTTAAAATTTTGGATTATAAATTAGTAGAGGATAAATATTGCATATTTTGAATATTTTACAAAATTAGATTTATTTATTTTTTCTTTTTACTTTGTAATCTATAAATTGTTTTACATAAGATATGGGTTATATTAACAAATATTTTTTAATGTTTGAATATCTACTTTTAAATTTAAAATTAGAGAATTTTATAATTGCAAATTTTAAAAAATCTAAGCTATGGACTTAATTAATTATAAAATAGGTGATATGCAAAGTTTTCGAACTAATTTGAGAAAATAACTAAATTTGTATGCATAAATACATGAAGATTTCATCCATTAATCCATATTATATCTTGGATAAACTTGTAACGAGGTCATATCATATTCCTATTGTACTATTCCTATTATCTAATTTTTCACTTTTTAAAATTTGTTTCTCTCTTTTTAATTTGTTCTTTCTTAAGAGTCAAATGATATAAATTTCTATCAAAATTTAGTTAATATATATCTTCTTACTCATATTGAAAAATACATGAGTAAAATTATAATTTATAATACTTTTCATATATAAGCTTAGAGAAAGACACTGTTAGTTGTTAATTTTGGTCATAGGATAATAACCAAGAACAGAGTTTTAATACTTATAATTAAATAAAGGAAAAATATTATTTCAAAATTTTAATCTTATAATCAAAAGAAATTGTAGTAAATACCTTTTAAGTTTTAACCGTCTAATTGAAGAGGAGCTATTCCATTGTAGTGGGTTCTTATATTTCATTTTTCCCTTGATATGTTTAGTTTCATTTATTTTTTATTGTTTTATTCTTAATGAAGGAAATTTTTGGAAAACAAATATGTCATATATCTGATGAAAGAAACAAACCTACTACTATTAGAATCACATATACTGTATTTAAAAATGCAAATATTTTTATATATTTTCATTTTTTGAAGAAGATATAATAATAAAAAGAATACCATTCATCTAACTCTAATTTTAATAACAAAATTATATAAGAAAGATTTCATGAATATTTTTAACTATTTTTTATGCATTGACATGAAAAGTTTTATCATATTTGTTTTACAAAATTTGTACTTTAGAAATATTTTCTAATTGATTAATTTATCGCGTGAAGCGCGGATATGTTTCCTAGTTTCTTTATAACTTAGGAATAGATCTTACATATAATAAGCATAGAAGACTGGAGCTAACTTTCATATCGGTTGTAAGCAGTGGCGGAGCTAGGATTTTCTTGGAGGGGGTTCAACTTATAAGAAGTAAATAAAAAAATGGAGCAAAACGGATCGGGAAAGGAAAAAACTATCCTTAATCCATTAAATTTAATTTGCCTTTTCATGCCGCGTTTAGCATTTCTTCCTACTTTTGTCGTGCTTCATTGATAACTTTTTAAAAAAAAAAGTGATTTTTTTCTTTAATTTTTTATTATTTTACTTTATTTTGAATTTTTAAAATAAATTAAATA